CAAGGTCCTATTATGTTTAATGTATGTACCAAATTTGAATGAAATCCATCCATGCATAACTGAGATCCGTGTCCGGAATGGTGAAAATGTGCGATTTCAATGCATTTTCGGCCTTAAAGTGGCCGCCATTTGGCTATCGTTAATGAGATCATGAAACAAATGCACATACATATTTGTGACATGATGTACCTTGTGTGTGTGAAGTTTGAACTCGATCAATCCAAGCATGTCTCAGATACGGATCCAGAACTGAATTCTTTAAAACAAAATGGCCGCCAGTCGGCTATTTCGAACCCGATCCAAAAAAAAAAAAGACGTGCATCAAGGTCCTATTATGTTTAATGTATGTACCAAATTTAAACAAAATCTGTCCATGCATAACTGAGATCCGGGTCCGGAATGGTGAAAATGTGCGATTTTGATGCATTTTCGGCCTTAAAATGGCCGCTATTCGGCTATCGTTAATCGGATCATGAAAAAAATGCATGTGCATATGTCCCATATAATGTGTGATGTATGAGTGAAGTTTGAACTTAATCGGTCCATGCATGTTCGAGATACAGGTGATCACGGACGCACGGACGCACGGATGCACGGACGCACGGACGCACGGACGGACGGACGCACACAGGGCAAACCATAAGTCCCCGTTTTCGGACTACGTCCGAACGGGGACTAATAAAGTCGCATATGTATCAGACAAGGTATCAAGTATGTGTGAGGTTTGAAATGAATTATTCCAGGTGTTTCCGGACGTGCACACAGCCTAAACCATAAGCAACGTTTCCGAATTGGGAAAAAAAAGAAACCCTGAATGCGTAATGTGAAAAATCACTCTTTTTACATGTTCTCAAACATGGTTACTAAGTATTCCTCCAAAGATTAAAAAATGTCCTTACCTCTGGCTACATCAGTAACGAACAGTATTTCGTTCTCCTTGTAATCAATTTCTTTTGCAATGCGGCGATAACTGTCTTCTTCTATTTTGGCTCCAATGACAGTGTCAAAGAATCCAGAGAATAACTACAAAGTATGAATGACAAAACAAACTACTGTAGAATACTTTATTTTCGCTTGGATTTTTTTTTCGCTATTATCACTGAAGGGATGATTCCATGAAAATAAAATACAGCGAATATACTTTTTTTCCTATATTTCACATTAAACTAATCAAAAGTCAGTGAAAATAAATTCCATACAAAATGTTCAAAAATTAATTCCAGCGAAAATAAAGTATTCCACAGTATATAACAATTTACACAAGATAAGTAATTCATCAACAGCTCTGAACTAGGAACAGTTTGAAAAGAAATCATACAGATAACATTTATAAAGTAATTTTTAAGGCAATATTTTGTGAACTATACACCATACCTCCAGTAAATCTCCCTTTTCAGAATAACCAAAAAGTAATTTTTGGGCTTCTACACTTCCAGAGGAATAAATATAAACTTTGCGGCCGCTTAAAATCCAGTGTTTGATTGCTGGCACTACATCATCATACACTCTAAAAAGAAATCAAAAATGTGCTATTAATGTCAATATTTCGAAAACATATTTGTATAAATATTAAAAATTTTATTCAAAAACTAACACTCCTAACTTTGAAAAGAGTTTGTTAGTGCTCAGGGCTCCGAAATTATATTGTGCTTTTATTTGTACTCAGACATCTACACATTGTTAAATGTTTGGGAGTTTTACTATGAATACAATATATTGAAAAAGTTATAACAAAACGCTGAGGTATTGTTTATGTCTTCAAACAGCAAACAATGAAGTGAAGATAAAAAACACCAGTGCAACTATATTCTGGTATATACACTGCAACACAACCTTTAAATTACCCTACCCGGTACCTCACTGATGTGACCCGCAACAGAACGTCATAAAGGCTTGGATATCTGAAGACATGACAATACATATTTAAAACATAGCGTTAAAAACCATAGTAGTTAACCATCTAAAAGTTAACATTAACAATGGGACAACTATTTAGTGGTGTGAGACCTGAATTGTATTTGGAAACAAGTATATAGCCCCCTCAGTGGCAAAATGTGGTAATCATTCAACTTACTGTCCCTTTAGTACTCCATTTTCATACCCTGATCTCCACATATGACCCTGTAACTGTTTTAAAGCTGTGATTTTTCTATCAGCATCCATCAGCCAAAGTACATTTTTGATCACTGCATCCTGCACAGATATCACTTCTTTTTGACAACTTGGATCAAAAGAATCAGGTATTGGGACAGCACCATCAATATCATGGTCTGCCTTGGCCTGTCAAAATAATACAACAAATACAAACATGATGTTCTAGGTTTTATTTGATCTCTTATCAGAGACACTTGAAGGATAACTTGTTTTGTAAACAGTCAGCGTATATAGTGGGACAGTAATGTTTGTTAGTGGATTATCCTTTGTTGGTGCGTTAGCGCAACAGTGGAGTCCACGCCTCTTTCACGCTCCACTCCAGTAGTGCAGGACTCAAAATTCCAGCTGTTTTCTTTGATTTTCACGCTCACACTCAAAATTATTCGTGATTTAACACACTTAATAAGTTCTATGATATTAGTTGGCCATTCTTAGTGTATATTTATAATATGTAGTAAATCTAGAGTGTTTTATTATCCCAAACAGTTTTTCATTGGGACCGCCGTCAAATTAAGTGCATTTAGGCAAGGATATTTAAACTTGCACTGATCATTCACAAGCTAATGAAATGATGACAATGTAATGCGTGAATTTCACCCAGAAATGTGCTCTCGCAATCGCGGATTTAGTCATTTTCACAAAGTTTGACATTTTTGTTATCACATGATAATTATGTATACAATGCCTGTCCAAATTGTGCTAACTTGTCCCTCTATACTTAGGCTTCTGAATCATATACGCTTAATTACGGTTCTGAATGAGACAATAGAAAGATAATGCTTTATTCAAAAACGTCAACAAACCTTTCTTGCTACCTTAAACACTTGATCTTTATAAAAGGGTTGAGGTAAATTTATGCATAATACTGTAATAGAGTAAAAGATAATAATGCTGGCAATGCTACTACCACAAGTACCTGTTTTCTTAGAGCATCAACATCTTCTTTGACATCTTTCTCATTCCAATTGGTCTTAATATACTTCTCTAAATGTTCACGTATATACGGGAACAAGACATCCTAAAAGACAATGCAAAACAATAGTATTGTTAAAAGAGAAATTGTGCAAATCAGAGGTGAATGAAAAAAAAGATAAGATAGTCGGCATTTTTGAATGATGATGATCAACATCACATATATGTTTATATTAAATCCGTCTATGTGCGATTGAGACTCAGTTTCAGAATGACTGAAAAAGGTTTTAATACTGAAATTGTGTTCAGCCATATGGAATTAGACCATGAATTGAATGCATATGCATGTGTGACATATTTTGTAATGTATGTGTAAAGTTTGAACATGATCAGTTCTCTACAAGTCCACATTTTTGGACTTGAGAGAGGCCTTGAAGGAGTAACTGTGAATGCAGGTTTAGAAGCAACACCTCCCCATAATCTATCACCCAAATAAACTTTTTGACCAATCACAATGCCTTAGTGGATGAACACCATTGGTATATAATTTCACAATGGCCAATTTGATCAACCACGACATTTTGTCCATTACCTAAAAAATAAATATGTTTTACATTTCAACGTTCTGCATCAGACTGTACTGATGATACTAACATTACGTGTACTATTCCAAATAAACGTATACCATAATTGCTCTATTACATGTAGAAGCATTTCTCCATTAGAAACGCATGTAATTGATCAAATGCATTAATTGTATACTGGATCATTTAAATATTACTTTTTTTTTGTCCATTGACACAACACTGACAATAACATAAATGGGTATCATTCGATACATTTTGACTGTATGTAAAGGGATATGGGTCTGAAGTACTGGCACCACTCACCTCAATAATATTGCTAGGGCAGTTGCAGCCTCTTCCCCCCCCCCCCTCCCCCAACACAAACGTATATATACTAGTATATTCTGGATTTCAGGATTTAAAGGCAATTATATCGGTAAGTCACTGACTGAAGCTGTAGTTTGAATTGCTACTTTTGACTCCTCAGTTGCCACACTGTATATTGCACTGATAAATAATAAAAACAAGTTTCCAGTGCCATTGGTGTGGATAATACAATTTAGAAAAACATAAATAAATCTAGTTCTAAACTGTGCACCTAATAATAACATTGATGATGTGATATGTTTGTACATGTACAGGGTATGTCATGTGTAGATGTCACATGAACATAGACCCTAAAAAAAGTCTATGGTATAAACCACAAGAATACATCAAAAATTCAAAAATCATGAATGCCTATTATTTTAACTTGCAGATATGTGTAATCTGACCAATTCATATGAGAAAATAGATACAACATGATTTAGTCATAATAAACTATCAGTGTTTTTGTAAATCGACTCATCAAATTTGTCAATAAAATTATACATTCATTTAGTATTTAAATCTATTACCTATAAATAGATATTATATTATATTTCTATTATGCTATGTTATATCATAGACCCTATTTTATCATTTGCCTGAGTTGTGCTTGAGTTTATTGAACATGATTAATGTAATTCACATTCACACAGCTGTAGCACACGGGTTGTCTATAAACAGGCCCCGCCCACTATAAACAAGCCCCGCCCAGTAGCATGGAGCTCCATGTATGTAGCTCGCTGTTAATGGTCTTATAATGGTGGACATTGTCCTTAACCTCAAATGATCTATATGGCATTATATGGTGGAAACCATATAGTGTCTGAACTGTACCTTCACGAAGGTTATCGGGGTCGTAGTTCCTTCGATGTCAAGTATTATTGCTTTCACGTTTACTAAGTGGTCATGGTCTACATCTGCAGACAGCGACCTCTTCTGACGTTGTGACATTCCAGTTTAAATCACCTCGGCCGGGCCACGTGCTACAAACGTGTTGTGTTTATATACAGCTGCCACGTGGGAGTTTCTCAATCAGCTGACGTATTAACTTCCGGTCAATTGTTGGGTGTTCCTTTTCTCCACTGCAAAGATACACACCTTTGCACAAATGCATCTCATGAAACCATTTAATTATTGGACTCGGACGTTTACTAAGAGGATTGGCATGAAACTATAACAAAGAAATGTTGTATGAATAGAAGTCGTAAACAAGTAGCAGATCAATCGACCTTTGTGACCCCAATTTTCTTCAAATTTCCCAGAAACCCTAGCTCTATGACGTGTCAGAAAAGATACGTGGCTATTCCTTTCACAAATATGCCACCCTTGTTGAATGTCAAGAAACAATAACTTTATGATGCAAGAATGTACAAAAACTCATTTGATTGTTTCTTTTTTTTAGAAAAGGTAATTTATATCATACTGAAATTTAAAAGAAAGTAACGAAAATCATTTATATACGAGTCGGGAATGGGGCTACATGTGACAGGGGAGTAACGTCGATATTTGCAACATCCAAATCTATTCATTAACCAATGGAAGTTTCTCTTCCTGTTGCAGTAGGCGTGTTCAACTACAGTCCATTGTCCCAGTCTGACTTTGCAGACGATTACTCGTCCAATATACTTGGCAAAAATCAACTGGTTTGGATAAAATTGGTCAAGATTTATCCATCCTGCTGAAACGCCAGGACATCACATTTATCAATCAAACCTATTGCGAGAAATTCGAGGCGATTTATTCCCGTGGTTGATTGAGAAATAAGGTAAGTTAGTGACACGTATGCAAGGCTGGTTATCACTAAACAGGATCAAGGTTATTCGGGTTTATTTGCCTCAACTTAGGCCTTATGGTCTATGCTGAGGAAGTCGCTTCGCCACCTACCATGGCTTATCGAAAAAAAAAAAGACCAACATTGTGAAATGACTAATATATCGTGCACATTATTTATACATGTAACATATATTAAACAATATCTGTCAGACGTTTTAATAGGTATTGATTCGGGAAAAAAGTTGAGATTCGTTTTCTAATGCAATTGCTCTATTCTGTACTCTGGTCTTTTCACGCGTGGTGGATTCATAATCAGCTGTTTGAGATACAGTGTACAATGCGTGATCAGTTTTCGTGACAGCCGCTGACTTTAACAATTCAGAAACCTTTGTACTCTGCTAATGCGTTGCTATGGAGTAGGTCTGCTTTCACACAATTTGTTGTCTCCAAGTAAAATCTTCCCATCAGAAACATTTTTTTTTTTTTGCGTTTGACACTACAGTAATGTTTTAGTGACCATGATTGATACTGCTGTAATAAAATCGTGCAATGTCCGATGACGTTTTTTAAATAAATGGGGACAGTCTTTTTAATTATCAAATTGTTTATTTTGGGTAATTTCTACAAATTTGTAGTTTATTGTAGTGTTATTTTTTGCTGCCTGGCACATCTGTTGTCAAGCCCATAATGCAGTTGATTTTGAGATGTTAGAATTAACCACATACGTCAATGAATTAACACAAGCTTGTACTGAAACTAGTTTAGAAAGAACAAGACATAAGGGTGGCTTCACCCATATGTGGGTGAATTATAAAAAAGAACTCGCACTTGTGATGATCCTGTTAATGAACTGTTGCACCATCTTGTACAGATTAATTAATAGTCAGTGTTAATTTTATTCCCTATATAGTAGAATATCATTTGTATCTGTCTTTCACTTGTTAAAATTACCCTTGCCTGATACAACTTTTCTATTTTCTATCTGTTTAGTTTACTTTTGAAACTGGCCATTGAAAATGGATACAATTGACCTATACGACTCGCAGACTCTTGGTATTGCAGTGTTTGCTGGGTTTGTAGTGCTATCTGCAGCTGTGTACCTGGTGTCAGCCTATGGTATTACAGAGAAAACCTATGAAGAAGCTATAGAAGAACAAAAACAGAAAGCACAGTTGGACCTTTATACAACTAAAGTTGAACCAAAACCAAAGAAGGAGAAGAAGACTTATCGTAAGGTTAAGAAGGAAAAGGAGAAACAAAGTGGAAGTGGTGGTGGTGATCGTGGTGGTGGTGGTGGTGGTGGAAGAATTGAAGAGACTTTGCAGCAACAAGCTGAAGTCTTTAATCCAGTACAATCTGAAGTGATTGAAGAACCAAAACTAGAGAAGACTCCTAAAGCTGAGAAAAAACCGAAGTCAGATGGCAATAAGGATAAAAAGAAGGAAAAGAAAGTAGAGCCCAAGCCAGAGAAAGAAAAAGAAGCTGAACCACCAGCCAAAGCAGCTCCTCCAGCCAAAGCTGCTCCTCCAGCCAAAGCTGCTCCTCCAGCCAAAGCTGCTCCTCGGGCTGCAACTAAGAGCACTCAGCCTGTGAAGCCGATCCTGAAAGAAGAGCAGCATGTCAAGGTGGAGAAGGTGGTTGTGCCAGAGCAGCACAAGCCATTTTCAAAATCTTCCTCACCAAAGGAAGCAGTTGCCCCAGTGGCACCAGCAGCAGAGGATAAGCCTTCTGTCATCTTGCCAAACAAGAAAGCATCTAAAGCACAGAAGGAGAAGAAGGAGAAATCAGGTACCGTGATATTTACCTAATTATTCACTCATTGTAGTAGCTGGCTGACCTATGTACTCCTTATAGATTAATTCAGTCATGATGGCCAATATGGATTTTTATCTTGCTTCCTACTAAAGTATAAATTGTTTTTTTCCTTTAAAGTATAGTTAAATTATTCCATTTTACTAGGTTTGACAATATTTCAATAATTCAGTATTCTAATGGAGCAAATGTGGTATTTTTACAGAAAGATTATTTACGGAGACTGAGTGAAGTGACAATGTTTGTATGCAAATACATAAAAGAAAAAAACCCAATCAGAACTATTAAATTTATACGATAAATATTTTTGAATATCAAAACATCCAGCATTTTGATATATTCTATAATTTCTAATCCACGTAACTACTTTGAATAATCACTCTCCTAACAAGCATGTTTCCCATATGGCATGCCAAGTGAAATCTACACTATAATGGCTACTTTTCTATTATCAAATTTGTTTTCTATTTTTAGAACTCTAACAATCATTGTATCACACCATGATTGTTTGTTACCTGTAATACCAGCACTGTTCCCTTTATTTTTTTTGAATTTTGAAAATACTGTGAAAATGCATGAAAAGTTTTTCAAAAGACAAAATTTCACTGAGAAACTACAATTGAATCTGAGAAAATTGAGCGAAAATAAGACTTAGAGGGAACACTGAATACCAGTGTTGATTGGAACAGTATTAATGATGAGCTGGGTGTTAAAATGTCTGCTTCCATTCGTTTGTATATAATATTGCATCAAATTCAAATTACATATGTACTGTATGTATTTTATCTATTTTACGTCAGGAATAAATTAAAGTCTTACTGTGTGGAGATCTAGTTCATGAAAACCTAAGAATAATAATTACCTCAGTGAGTCATCTGAATTCTTTAGTGACTGACCACTGTGACATTTATTTGATCTATTATACACAATAAATAGGAACCCATTACGATACTATTGTGTAGTATGGAAAGTTTCAGCAAATGTGATTGAGCCAGAGAATGAATGATAGAGTAAAATATCTTCTTTAAAACCTTATTAATTTGTAATTTCAGAAAACATCTCAATTAAGCACAACAATTTATTTATGAATTTTAATATTTCACCAAAAAATATTTTGAAATTATTATTTTCGGTGTGGTGTCTAAATAATATTGAAATGACTATCATAAGCGGCATCATCAAATTTTAGATGAAATTAATAACTTAATAAATGATTTATACACTTAATATTTTTATTTCATTGGGATATGAAATTTCCTTCCATATTGTTTTGAATATATTTAATGTAGTCCATCCATTGTGATATTGATATTACTTGTATAAATGGAGCATAAAACAAAAATATACGTGTGCAAATTGACCCAAATTTGGAAGAATTTTTCTTGTGAACAGGGCCACTTACCTTAGGTATTGCATTCTTAATACAATGGGCTTTGTGTAAAGATTGAAGGAGTTGTGATGTTGTGAACCATTATTGCTTTAGTGCATTCACATTCAGTGACAGTCATACAACATAGTACTGAAGGTTGTTTCGTAAGTTTTCTACAATTTATTCAGGCCATTAATTTCTGGTTATTCTCACAACTTTTGCAGGTGCAAAGTTCATCAAGGGTACATGTAGATACACTGACCTAAATCAGTCTTCCATTTCTGCTTTCTAAATTTCAACTAATGTTTTTATGGCTGCTGGCTTGCTTTCATCGGCTCTCATTCAAACAGTTAATTCATCCATTTATCTGATCATAAACATGTTGTCTAACTTACAGTGAATTAAAGACTTAGTTGAAAATCAATTTTTATACTGTTAGCTATCATCAAATGAATCAAGTACTTGCATTTCAGGATTGCATCAGCCATGATAGGAATCCACTCAGAAACCATCAGTTGAATCTCTATATTCATAGTCATTTAATGTATGAAAAAAACTGAACAATTTAATTACTGCATCCCAGGTGTAAATCTTGACCTTGTCTTAAAAAGAGCGTTCTGCTAATTATTGAATATTATATTATATAATAATATTTTTAAAAATCTACTGCTAAAATTATTATATTGAAGTGTCACACAAATATTTTGTATCCAAATTCCCAAATTTCTGGCATTCACATAGTATCATTTTTTCTTCTTGGAATTCTGTTAAAGAATTCCACCAAGTAACAACACAGTTGAAGTAAATGAGGTCATTGTTCTCTTGACAACTCCAGTCACTGAGTCCCTATTATATATATGTATATTTGTCCATGCATGTTGCAACAACCATGCTTATAAGTAATGTCATAAAGTTATATTATGTAATCTGTCTAATGTCAAATAATGCATAGAGAAAAATGTAATGTCAGAGGAAACATTTCATCACCCACATTCATCATCTTTCCAAACCAAGTTATCTTACAGTTTGTAAATTTAAAAATATTGAAATCATAAACCACGACCACGATCATAAACTTTTCATTGTACAAAATGGATACTTTTATTTTACACATGGCAAGGAACTGAAGTTTAATAATTGATTTGAGTAATCAATATATGTTTGTCTATATATTAAATTGCAAAATTATGTTTAATGTTTGCTGGCAAAATGTCAATATTGTAGCAGTACAATACAATGGAGCTGCTGACGTGTGCAAAATCTAATCACATCTAAGTGATAGGTTAAAGATGTAGACTGTTTCCTGGAAGACTGAATTATGAGAAAAATTGCCTGGTATTCAGGATTGTCATCTAAACTATCTCACAAAGTTGTATGAGGTGACATTGATGTGATAGTTGAGTCCTGGCATTGATTTCAGCAATAAAACTAAAGCTGGTAGATATGTTTGTTAATGTGTACTTGCTGCCCTGAGGTCAATCTTCATGTTATTGTGACCTGATACTCTTATCACGATTTAATAAGATTATCTCTGTCAATTTTCATAATTCATCTTCATTATCAGATTAAATTGCAATACATTTGTATATAACAGGACAAATATAGCACCATGATTGCTTTTTTAAATTCAAATGTTTTGCAATTGCTCAGTTTATTAAAATTGTCTGTCATATAGTGAAAACTTCATCCTTAAATTGCTGTGGTACTTTTTAATATGCCCACTTCTGTTGACGTAGTTTAATCAATTAATATTAAACAGTAGGTGATATTGTATCCTTTGCAAATAGTCTGTGTACAAATAAATGGAATATGTACCACTCATCCATCAATTAGACTTTGTGCAATCATTATTTTGGAGATGAATTGACATGATTTGTTGGTAGATTTTTTTTGTTGGGGGGAGAGGGGTTGATAGTATTTAGCATTCATAGTCTAACTAATAAAGAAATTGATCCAAAAGAAATTTTCATGGGAATTTAATTTCACTATTTTGATTTTTGAGTTGACTAATTTGCCAGTGATACTGTACTTGTATACATATGGTATATTTAAGTTGTTAAAACATTTTTCTTACAAATTTTCTTAAGCACAATGCCAAGGAGACCTATGCCGTTCTCAATAATGATAAAGTTATCGTTGACATTTTAATCCATCTCAAGATTAACTGCATTACTCGATGGTATGTGATTAGCATGCATAACTCTGTGTTTGACATGTAACATACATTACCCCACACCCTCCCTGTGGCTTTCGTTGCGTATGGA